TTCCCTCTAAAAAAAAAGAAAATTAAAAGGAAAAAAAAAACTGAGTGGGGAGGGAGAGAGGAGAGAGGAGAGAGAGAGAGTTCAGAGAAGGAAGAAGAGTGGGAAACAAATGAAGGTGAAATCTGAATCGCAGGGTTTTATTTTACGATAATTTTCATGGAGATGTATTTGTAAAATGCACAAATGAATTTCCTTTTTTACTTTTAATTTCTGGTATTTTTTTATTTAATTTTATTTTTCTTGCGATGGATCTGCTTGTCAATCTCAAGGAGCCATTCTTACATAATATTAATATTATTTTATTTTTGTTTATTTTCACTTTTTCTCTCTTGTTTTTAAAAATAATTTATTTCTTATCAATTTAGCCGAAATGGAATCTTCTTCGTTTCTCTCTCCTTGTTTTCCTGTTTCTAAATAAATATTTCATTTCTTTATATATATATATATATTAACATCGTTACATTTCCTATTCCTAATATACAAGCTGCTGTGAAAAACATCTTATTACACATTGATATTTTTTTTTTGTAAATATCACCCTTTAGTTTTTTTTTGGTGGATGGTGAATCTTATATATGGATTAGAAATAATTAATATGTAGGAGTAAGTTATATGCAAGAAGAACGATCATTTTTTCTCGAATTGATATAGTTAATTTTTGGTGCAAAACAGACAAAACTGTGTTCTAATATCATTATTAGTAATTACTGAGAAATAGTAAGTCCGTGAATAGTTTTTTTTCAACAGGAAAAATAAATATGAAAAGAAGTAATTGTAAATTTGTAAGCGTTTAATGTTAATAAAAGAGTGAGAGTCCATCATTTGGTTGTATGTGTCGTTGAATCATGATGGTGGGCACAAAATGATAGGGTGTCAATTTATGTCCGAAACTCGAAATCCGATTCTTAAAAATAGCGGGATTCAGATCGAGATATTTAGATTTAAAAGTTTTTCCAATTTTTGGATCGGAATTTCGAATCGGTCTGAAAGTCCGAATTGATTTTTTAGAAAAATTAATAAAAAAATTCAAAAAACAAATTTATCAGGTTGATCCAATTCGAATCTAAATCCGAAATATATAGAGTCAAGCTTGAATTTAATCGAATGTCCCGAATACCTCGAACCAAGTGTAAACTTGAGCCAAATCGGCCGGATCAACGCGATTCACATCCAACAAAAAAGATATTCCCTCCGCTTCACAATATTTGACGTTTTAGATAATTTTTTGTGTTTCTAAATAATTGTCATTTTAAGTTTTCTAGGCAAAATTTTAAAATAATTTTCAATTTTATCCTTAATAAAAACTAATAAATTTTAATACATTATTAGTGATAGCATCGATCTATGTATTATTAAAAGATATGTATGACTTTTTATTGTTTTTGTAAAAAATGTGAAAAAAGTTAACACGTCTTGTGAGGAGTATAAATATATATATATATATATATATATAAGAAATTGCAGAATTTGTAAAAATAATATAAAAATATAAGATTAAAGAAATTAATAATTACAGAGATTTTATCGACAGCTGCACATAAAGGCGGGTGGG